CTTACTTGGTATCACCTCTGAGTTAATTAAGGGCATCCTCTCTTTTAATATTTGGTTAATACAAGTACAAACTAGTAATTTGCTCAGGACACGTCCTGAAAAAATCTCTCATGTTTCCCTTCAGTTTGGGCATAGACTATTAATAACTATTCTAAAGCACAGTTTTTCCAACCAGTAGGAAACCGGGCTATAAAACCACTCTCTCATATAAAGTTAATGAAGCATATTATATAACCAGAAGGCTATGGCTTCAGCTTGTAACCTTCTCAGGAAATTTATGTTCACTATTTTGCAGAAAACTGCAGTAATGCTTCCTTTAGAATATATTAACAATTAATTTTCTTGTAAGCTGAAAAAGCATTTTCCAAACATTTCTGGATTGGGAACACAGGAAATCAGAATAACACATAATGTCCCATTGAAATCCCTTACTGAGCAAGATCTATGAAACACCACAGAGGCCATTCTATTGGGAAAAAAACAAACAACAAACCTCAAGTAAAGAAAGACTTTTAAGTGGTTAATATATGACAGGAACATTGCTCTTCCTGGAGACTGAAATTTAACATACTTGGTTCACCTATACTCAGAACTGCCATGCATATATAAAAAACACCATACTCAAAGGATTGTAATTTTACCCAGTAAAACTCCATAGGGGTAATGAACATTCTAGCCAAATAGTAAGAACAGATTCTAGCAAGATTCAAACTGGGAGTTGGAAAAAATTACACAAACCATATTCCAGGGGAAGGGGTTCATTAGCAAATATCTGGGTCATTTAAAGATATTTTAAATGTTCACACTTAATAGCACAGAACTTTATGAATCCTAATTGAAAACACTCCCCTGCAGTAAGCAGGGACAACATTACTAGATCAATGTTACTGGTTCAGTGACCCATCAAGTCTGACCTTGAATATCTCCAGGGATGAGGCCTCTACCACCTCACTGGGCAACCTGTTCCAGTGATCTACCACCCTCGTATTGAAGAACTTTTTCCTAATATCCAACCTGAATCTACCCTTTTCTAGTTTAAAACCATTACCCCTCGTCCTATGGCTACATGCCCTAGTGAACAGCTCTTCCTCATATTTCTTATAGGCACCTTTCAGGTCCCCCTAGAGCCTTCTCTTCTCCAGGCTGAACAGCCCCAACCCTCTCACTCTATCTTCATAGGAGAGGTGCTCCAGCCCTTTGATCATCTTTGTGGCCCTCCTTTGTGCACGGTCCAGCACTTCGATGTCCTTTTTCTGCTGGGGACCTCAGAGCTGGACGCAGTGCTCCAGGTGAGGTCTCACCAGAACAGAGCAGAGGGGCAGAATCACCTCCCTCGATCTGCTGGCCACACTTCTTATGATGCAGTGCAGAATGCGGTTGGCCTTCTGGGCTGCAGATGCACATTGGTGGCTCATGTCCAGCCTCTCATCTACCAGTACCCCCAAGTCCTTTTCCTCAGGGCTGCTTTCATCAGCCCTGAAATTGTCAGATGATGCTGCACATCATCTCCTAGCTTATATTGGAAATGAGGGTTGCCCCTACCCAGACACAGGACCCTGCACTTACTCCACATACTTTTGTGTTTCAAATAAAAAAGTCAGTGCAAGATATGACTTACTTAAATTAAACAAAACCTATGAGATTCTATCTTTTATAGCATATATAAATACAATTCTGTAAAAGCAGGTTTTTCCTTACAAGAAAAGCTGTTAGCACTAGTGCTATTACCACACCTTCAATATTAGGTAAATATTTATTCCCTAAGATAACTTAAAATCTACCTAAATACTAAAGTCTTTGCTCAAGTTATATTAAAAGTTGGAAAAAATATGTGTTGTGTCAATTTTTCTGCTTTTCTACCTTATCTGTAATGTAGTACATGAAGTTTAAAATTAATTAGATCAAGCCTTCGTGGCATTAAAGAAATTCCAAGTAAACTCCTTCAATAAGAACTTCTAAGACATTCAGAGTTCAGGTCAGAACATAAAGATTAACAAAAAATACATCTGAAAGACTTTAAATACTGTATCTTTAAAAAAAATAACTGCTAGATGCTTGCTCTGAGTTTTACTGCAGATTGTAGCCACTCATTTTTTGTACTATTGGGATCCATCAGCATATATTCTCTAAAAATTAGAGGCAAAGGTCTGGACCATCTGAATCTTTTTATATCACTCATATTTCCCAGATCAAAATTTTAATTTCATAGGCCATTTCAAATTCTATACCTAAACCGTGTGTGGACAAATATTTTGGTAGGATTGTAGAAGGAGAGAGCCACTAGGTTGTGTTTTGTCCTCAGATGTTCAGCATAAGAGTTTTTCACATAAATGTCATAAAATAGGCAACACAAAAAAAAACCACCTCAAAGCCTTCAGAAAATTAAGCCTAACATAACTTTGCTGTACTACATGTAATAATTTCCCCCCATCATTTAAGCTAGCAAAAACAAGCATTTTATTGGTACAGCTACTTTTCAGTACAATGCAAAAATCTTCATGTCATACATCTCCCTATGTGGTATCAGAATTACACTTCGATGTGAAGTCTTGATTTGACTTCCATCCTGATACTTGATCTCTAATGAAATAACTATACACTACTTTTTCCTGCTGGCAGCCTGATTCATTCAGTATATATAATAATCCGCTAAATTTTCGGTAGCTCATCATGCAACTTCATGAGATTTTTTAACACACATTTTTAAATATACCTACTTAGCTAGTTATTTTTTCAAAAAGCTAGCAACCTCCAAATTTCTCCATTTCTACACCCACGTAAGTCAGGGTTGAAATATTTACTCAGGTAACATCTGACAAAACTGACAAATATAACAAAAAGCTTACTATTTAATTGATAAAGGGAGATTAATTTAATCAACTTGTCATGATAGCAACATCAATTATAATGTATTTACTCATCTTAAACTACATCTTAGAATTGTTATGAACGTAAGTATTATTCGGTTTTTTGGGTGGTTCCCCTCCACAAAAGAACATTGAGTATCCCAAATAGTTTGGAAAAAAAAACAGGATTTTTTCTATTAAGTCAAGTCTCTTTGGATAAGATAATTTATAGCGCTTATTTTTTTAATCACTTTACCTGCATTCCTTTGACTTCCTCTGCTATGCTGCAATTAGAAATAGGAAAAAAAAGTAATCAGAAGAATCTTAGAATAGTATTAGAATAGTAGAGTTATTTTAATTGATGCCTTTATTTACTCTGGTATATCTCACAACTGGGCACTTCCTAAATAACCATTCAGTTTCCTTCAGGTTTCCTGTGGCTTGATCAGAAAAGCCACAAATACAGGATGAAACTTACCTGATCATTCACTTCTTGCCATACTGTTACTGTTAAAATCACTACAAGAACATAAATTATAGCTACCTTGGCCCACATAATAGGCTAAGACAGAGAATTCCTCTTACAGTCCATAATGGATTTAGTTTGTAAAAACGTGTAGTAAATGATGCACAAGGTATTACCAGGAATGGAAAAGGAAAGGGAGATACAGCCTCTTTTCTGCCTACATTAAACCCACTCTTATTCCCCAAGAGTGAATTTCACTCCTCATCCCTTCATGCTGTGGGATTCAGAACAGCTTCTGCATTAACTACCAGGGCACACTACACAACTTAGTTTTTTAGACAGATATTAGGAATGCAGCAGCAAAGTAACTTTTGATGCTTATGTGAGAAACAGTGAGATTTTGAGGAAATGCCCTGTTGAGTTCTTATGGGGGAGTTTAGGAAATAGAAGAAGCAGAGACTGCTTGTTTACTGTAAATACTCAGAATTAAAAAAATATAGATCATATGTCCACAAAGAGTAATGGCTTTAGCGTGACACAGACAGCAAGTGCTGAGGCTGCTAAGATACTTTAATTACTCCAGGGTTATTTTACAGAAAATAAATGTAAAGATGAAACCTGTAAGTCCTTTGGAATTTAAAAGGTGACTACCTCAACCAAGATAAATGGACGCAATGCATGTTAACTTCAATGACAATATTCTGATGAGATCCAAAACTATGTGTCACCATGAGAGAGCATTTAAAAAAAAAAAAAAAAAAAAAAAAAAAGAATCTTTCCAGGTTTTCCAGTGGTGCTAACTACTGGTAAATGGTCATCTATTCTAGTCTCTCTCATCTGACAGCCTTAATCAATCTATCCTAAAACACTATTTTAAAGCAGATGTTAACTTCCTTGATTAATACATCTTGCAAATATTATATGGCACAGCAAGATTAGAATGTATTCCAATATATAACATATTTTAAAAAAAGAAATATTGCTACAATTTGTCTGTGTAGTAGGACTTTATTATTAGCTACCTCAAGTACTTCCTTCTTCCATTTTTGAAACTTCTTGGTTGACACAGACTTGCATCGGTTTTGTCCTAGAAATAACAAGGGATATCAATATAAACACAGTTTTTCTTATAAAACACTATCTATACCAAGTGTCACACGTAAACATCTAGGAAAAACATATTACATAGCAACAAAACGTTATCAAATCTGAACAGCTTCCAATACAATTGCTGAAACAAAAACATCTATCGACCCAATCCACCCTGACATTTGACGTAACAAAAATTTATCAGACCAGCCTTTAGAATACTGAACGGAGAGGAAACTATAAAATCCATTCATGTGTATCAACCTCCTGCCAATACCTTCATTTCTTTGTTTCCCCTCAGTTTTCTCCATTTTGATTCTTCTTTTTATAAGACATTCAAAGAGTAACCATTGTTGTCCTGAACTTTGCTAATAACTTTTCTGTTGGCTAAAATAGGGCATGCAATGGACAAAAATGGTGCCTACAAACTCTCCAAGCGTTATGTATGTGTACCAAAGTTTACATACAAAATTATATACCTAAGTGAGCAAAATTCAGTATCCGTTGCAATTAAGTGTTATATCGAACTGCCAAAGACCACATCCTTCACTAAGTCTAAATATACAGCATGCAAATATTGAAGACTTAAAAATTCTTACCGTCAGATGTATTGTAAGTGAGGTTTTCCATGGAAACAAGTAAATCATCTTCAAAAGGATGATTATACTAAAGAAAAAGGACCATTTTAGACTAGTATAAGTGATTAAAACAATGTTTTTAACATGAATTGTAATTATTGTTTTTATACAATCTTGTTTTGACCAAAATGTGAAATTATCAGTATGTTGTTTTACTGGCTGAAGTCAGCAGTCAGCAATCTAGAAATATTAATTCCTAGAGGAAACACATATTTTAAGCACGTATGTAGGTCATTCATTTTCAAGGCATAAGCCAGCCATTGACAAAAATAAGGCTTCAGAGTTTTCAAAAGTGGTTAAGTTACTCTATTACAGTGTTTCTTCTAAACTTCCACTGTAGTAACTGGAAGTAGTCGCTTAGCATAGATCTACAGCTCATGACATAAAAATAACCAATTTAATGCTAGATAAGAAAAATGTTTTAGAATCAGTCAGCCTCATGCCAGTACCTAGTCATCAGGACAAAACATTTCCCTGAACAGTAAAGGTGACATCCGTGAATAAATACATGTATCTCTGGACAGAGGTTTATGGTTTCCACATCTTTAACACAAAATGGCTTTAAAGTAAGGAGGATTCATGGATGGAGACTCTCACTTCTTTCTGTAGTTTCATGGAAAATACCTCATCTCATGCTAGCTAATTTGGGTTAAGGGCAGTATAAAGACAAAAAGTCACTTCTTTAATCTGGCAATCCCAGATCTAAGTTTTACTTTACTAGCTTACTCGCGCCAAGGCATAGGAATGCGTGGCTCAGAACAAACTGCAAAGCTGCATGAGGCCCTGGGTGACGGCTGCTTCCGGTAGCCTGGAAAAATTGGAACTTGTGACACTGCAGCCAGTGAAATGATAAATTCAAAGCCAGTTACTGCAAACTACTGCAGAGAAAAACTGAACCTGTCAGCACTGACACACCAGGGCTTAAAGGTGGCCGGAAGGAG